CTCCATACATGACATGATCCTCTCCATACATGATTCAAATGGTAAAGTGGAAACTGATACTGAGGACATTGCCACTGATGCTGTTCAGTATTTTCAAAAAATCTTTATGGATCAATCTACTGAAAGAGCTCCTATCAAGGTGGAACTTTTCTCTGAGTGCAATAATTATGTTCAAAGCTTGGACCTTATTCAGATTCCTATGGAAGGGGAAATTAAAGCAGCACTGGATTCTATTGATGAACAAAACGTGGCTGACCCTGATGGTTTTACTGCCAAATTCTACAAGTCTACTTGGCATATCATCAGTGGGGAGGTGGTTGATGTTGTACAATGCTTCTTTAAAGGTATGGATCCCCCTAAGTACTTCACTTCTTCCACTATTAATTTGATTCCCAAAAATTCTACCAAGACTGGGTGGGGAGATTTCAGACCTATCAGTCTAACAAATGTCTTGTCTAAAGTTATCAGCAAGGTTATTAACAGCAGGCTCCAACCTCACCTCCAACAACTTATCAGCAATAACCAGGTAGCATTTGTGAAAGGGAGACAGATCTCTGATAATATTCTCTTGGCACAGGAGTTGTTGCTGGACCTTGACAGAAAGTGTAGAGGAAGCAATCTCATTCTGAAATTGGATATCCAGAAAGCTTATGATACTATCAATTGAAATTTTATATTGGACACTTTAATTACTAGGGGTTTCTCTGAGCCCTTTATAATATTGATAAAAGGATGTCTATGTATTAATAATCACTCTATCTTAATCAATAGTAAAAGCCATGGTTTCTTCTCTGCATCAAGGGGAATTAAACAAGGAGATCCACTGTCTCCTACTATCTTCATTCTTGCTATGGATTATCTTTCTAGACTATTAAATTAATTTTTTGCCTCTTCTCCTCACATGACATATCAGCATAAATCTAATATTGGGTTGAGTCATCTGTCTTATGCTGATGATATTATCATTTTCTCCAAGGCTACCAAGACTGCTGTGAAGGCCCTTTTCCAAGGACTGAACACTTCCAAATCACTTCTGGTATGCATCTTAATAAACATAAATGTCAATTATTTAATAGCTCAAACACTCTTCCACAAATTAGGCATTGGATTGCTTAGTACATTGGCTTCAGCAAAGCATCCCTACCAATCAACTATCTTGGTGTCCAATTACTCAAAGGGAGAACCAAGCAAACACAATTCAATGGAGTTATTGATCAAATTCATAAAAAGCTGCAGTGTTGGACCAATTATTTCCTTTCTAATGGAGGTAGAATTACCCTCCTTAAAAGCATCATAACTTCCATTCCATCCTATGCTCTTCAAATGTTTACCATGAAGGTGAAGAAAGGTACTCAGATTAGGTTGGGCAGAATTTTCAACAAATTTCTGTGGGCTGGACAAAAAAACAGTTCCATTGGTTAGCTTGGAACAATTTACGTAAACCCCAAAGTGCTGGTGGTTTAGTCTTTTAATATTATTCGCATCTCAGGATCATCA